AATACATTTTTTGACTTAATTTTATGGGAGGATTTTTTTCATGCCGTATACTAAAATATTCATAACTCTTTAGGATTTTCTTCCAAGTCAACATTACTACAACCGTTGGAAAGTTAAATTATTTCTCTTCAAAACCATCTCAATAACTTTTAGATTTTACACCTTTATAAGGGAATGAATCACGATGTAACATTGACTTGGGAGAAAATCTTAAGGATGAATAATATAGTATACGGAATGAAAAAAAAAAATCCTCTCATAAAATTAAGTAAAAAAATTTATATTTTTTGTTTCAAAACAAATTCGTATTTAAGAGTTTTAGTGGACCCTATAAACAAATGTGGGTAGTTTTTTCATGACAAAAATTTACTTGGCCTTCTTTGCTAGAAGCATCTATGGGTTTTTATAATTTATTATACATAAGAATTTGTTTAATACAATTAAAAATATGGTTTTCTTATTTTTCACACACAGAAAAAGCAAATCGATTCATTTATAATAATATAGAAATCCATTCAGAGCAAAGTCAGAAAACAGTATTACAATAAGATAATAAAATTTTATAAACAAATTTTTTGCGACTTCTAGGACCCATTAACAAAAACCCTAGGACATAGATCAAATATTTTTCGACCTAGTATCACCAAAAAAAGTGTCATTGAAATCGGCAACCTCACATCCGTAACCTCGCCTCTTAAGAGAACTCTTTGCTGAGCTTCTTTTAGCATATTAAGAGACCATTATTATTATTATTATTAATCCAAGATTTGATGAAAAATAGAAGTTAGTGTATTTCAGCTCCTTAAAAACTCCCTTAAAATGGTTTTAACAAAGACAAATTCTAATTGTATTTAAAGACAATTTGGCCTGGTTTACTATAAAGCAGTTGGTAATTATTTTAGCGAAATATTTATTCAGTTACGAGACTAACATTGAAAAAATACATTCCTGAACTTCCTATTTTTGTTTATAGAGTCGGTGATAGTCTGTACGACCTTTTTTGTAGGTATTAAGGTCTGCTATTACTTATTGAAATATTTCCCATTACATATTACACACCCTGTGTGTTTAAATTTACTGTAGGCCTATAAATGTAAACAATCAGCTAATTAATTTTTTTCGAACAGTCATACGATTTCCTATAGTCTGCGAATGACCACTAATCCAAAGGTAGGATTTTAATTATTGAGGGAGGGGGGTGTTGCATATTTCTGATTTCAACTGAAGAATAAGATGATTAATACAAATTTAATGTTTTTGGAATCCTGAGCATCAAGCAGAAGCGAACCCAAGCTCATGACTGAAATAAAGTAGAGGAAGAATATTTTCATTCTAAAAAAAAGATGAGTGCTTAAAAAGAGATTGCTAGTAATTAAACAATATTGTAAATAAATGATTACAAATAATAGCTAAATAAAAATCTGTGTTTTATTAAACTACTTATTGGAATTCATTAGTATTCTCATGTTTAGGTAACATTATTGTTGAGGTGCTATATTCGAAATTGGATAATTGGAGGGGGGGGGGAGGGAATTAGCCGGGATGTATGGGCGCCTTGAATTGGAATGTGGAAAGGAAGCCTTCCAAACAATTTACGCCACTGTTTCTTAAGCTGACGTTAAGATTGTTTTTCTTCCATGTTAACGGAATATAAGAGTTATAGTTTTGCTTGTACAACCAATTTAATCAATTTAATATTAATAAGTTACAAGTCATTGCGGTGACCGTTCAGTATCAGTTTTACCCAGGTTTCACGATTACCACCCTCCAGTTCTATGGGAGTATTTCTTTTCCTTCAGTCATGAGTATTCACAAGTACGGCCAGGTTTTCTGAACATTAGCTAGCAATGATTGCACAGATTTTAGATGAGGATGTCCAATTAGAGTAAAGAATGTAAAGAAAAGTTTAAAACAAATGAGTTCATGTGGAATGAATGAAATAGAAGGTCAAGTAAAGTTTGCCAACTTATAGAAAGAATTGACGATAAGTTGGTTGGGGTGTACAGTCAAAAACAAAAAGTAAAATTAAATAAATGATATTTTAAAATTATAAAATAATGCTGTGTTTATTTCTTCACCATATTTATTTCAATTTACATAGCTACGTTTCGGCCGGTAAGCCATCTTCAAGATAAACACCATTAATTTTATATTTTGATGTAATTCTACACTCTATGAAGGTGGTATTGGTCCTATTTAATTTCATATTCTATGAATTATAACTCTAATTAGGTTAAGTCAATTTTTTAAATTTGTAATGAACACTATCAGTTAATTTGCAAATTAACAGTACCAGTAGATAGAATGAGGTTGCTCTTTTATTCAAATCCATAAACATCAAGGTAAGATCAACAGACATAAATTATATTTCTGGATTTGAATAAAAGAGCAGCCTCATTCTATCTAGTGATACTGTTAATTTACAAATTAACTGGTAGTGTTAATTACAAATTTTAAAAATTGGCTTAACCTAATTAGAGTTATAATTCATAGAATATGAAATTAAATAGGACCAATACCACCTTCATAGAGTGTAGAATTACATCAAAATATAAAATTAATGGTGTTTATCTTATAGATGGCTTGAAGATGTCGTACCGGCCGAAACGTAGCTATGTAAATTGAAATAAATATAGTGAAGTAATAAACACAGCCTTATTTTATAATATTAGAAAATTTTCACTTAAAACAAGCACATATGTAAATGATATATTTTTTTATTTTTGCTGACGTTTCGATCCAAAGTTCAGGCCTTCATCAGGGCTAAGGAAATACCATATAACACTTTTAACTTTTTTATTACAATCTCTCTCAGTTAAGGACACTTCAGAGAGCACAACCTTATAACAATAGGCATGAGAAACTATTAATATTAAAAAGAAAATAATAATATGTAGGTGACAGATATAATGACATGTGGGCAGAATAAACTTAACATTAATAAATAAGTGGAGAGACAGAAATATGAAATATAAATAAAGGAAATATAAAATAACGATAACAAAGTTAGAAACAGAAAGTAGCGGTAACAAAGTTATGATATATAACATATCGGTAACAAAGTTAAGAATTTATGAAAAAAAATAATATCAGTAACAGAGACGAACTTACAAAATAAATAATAATGGCAACAAAGTTGGAGACTAATGAAATAGTCATAATGAATGAAATAAACATAATGAAATTAGGTAACAAAGGAAATGAAAAGATTGATCAACCAAGAAATTTAATGGAATATTATGAGATGAAAACGTAAGTGTCAGACAGAATAAATGGGGTGACGTAGTTGCTAAAATATGATGTTTTAGAATGCTAAAAAGAAGTGAGAATGACATAGAATAAAATGTAAAACAGAGAAAAGGAATATGAAGTTATATAAAGAAAATAATATATGTAAATAGAAAAATTAAAATACTGTAAAATATATCAAAACACACTGCCAAAAATAAAAATAAATATCATTTATTTATTTTTACTTTGTGATTTTGACTGAACACCACAACCAACTTCTCTTCAATTTTCACTACAGTTGACCATTGATCCACTATTATAAAAAGAATTGATTGATGATATAAATTTTTATGAATATTTTAACATGAAATTGATAAAATGAAAATTTAATTTGTTGAGAAAATAGATAGATCCTTTCTAAAAGGGACACACAGAACAGATAAAATCCATAACATAAAAATATTAACATGGTGAATAAGATAAGTAAAAATAATAAAAAATTGTTACTTTTAGAATTTTTAAATGAATTTAAAAATAAATTTTCCATTTTTAAACGAAGTTTCTATACATTTAAAATTGGTTATTGAATATCGTACTAAGCTCGATATTTCCTGACGTTTTAAATGAGTTTTTCAACATTCATTGTAACCTTTTATTTATTTATTTTATTTGTATTATAATATATAATATTTAATTATAATTGTGGCTGACGGATAGACTTTTGAAAGTAAAAAACTTTCCATGGCATTCTTATCAAAAATGGGTTGGGAAAAAATATAAGTACCTATTAACCATGGTTGGGGATTAATAGAAAGCATACTCTTTCAGTAAAATGTATGAAATTTCTGGGCAATACTTCTGTTATATAAATTTTTAATTAGCTGTAACACAAGCCATTCGATTTTTTTCTTATTAGCAATTTTAACAATCTTCAATATCGAAACCGTATTGTGCCAAATGGAATGATGCACAAAGAATTTAGTAACTTGTTTGTTAGATTCGATATCCAATTGGGTACTATTGTCAACTTTCAATTTTTTTCATTGGTAAAGCTTGGGTTATAAAGATAAAAACGCAATGAGTAATAGTTTCTGATGAATAATTGCTAAGATACTTTATGTTTAAGAAAAGTGGTGGGGACGGAGCTACGTCAGGAAAGTGGAGACTCCAGCCAAGTCATGCCGTGCATGTGCTTTGTTAAAACCATTGGGCATCTTATTGCTTAAAGCAGTTCCAACTTTAAAACTTACATTAAAAAAAATCTTTCTGTTTTTTTCTCTCACCTAATCTTTTCTCAATAAAACTATTAATTTAAAATGTATTTTATTAGAGTTTATAAATACATATTTATAAATGAAGAGTTAAGAGGTGTTTGATAGCATTTTGTTTGGCAGTGGTATTCGGTCACGGTTGGCTGAGGCCACGCCCCATGTCTCACCATACCTGTTATTTCAAGTTTTTTGCTAAATATAAACCTCTTTTATAATTAAGTGTTTTATTTATTAAGTACGATTTCAATTTTGTATACGTTTTTTTATTTTTTGAATACTATGCAATTGATTTTTTTATGCGATTTTCCATGCAAGTATACTACCCAATTTAAATTTGGTCACCTTCATACTATAAATACATATTTGGATTATTTTTAAACTATTTAATGATTGATCATAATATTTTATATTTTAGTATTAATGATGCTATTAAAATAAGACATATAAACTATTTTTATTCATTAAATAAATTAATAAAAATATATATTTTTAACTTACTCCTTCTCTTTTAATAAAAGTTTACTGATGAAATCTTTTGCTTCAGCAGAAATTTCTTCAAACGTCTCATCCTCAAAATCATAGCGTGCTATTGTAACATTAGCCATTGTCTCAACATCTGTTTCTCCCATAAAAGGAGAGAGCCCAGAAAGCCTGAAAATTAATTCAATATTAGATAACAAAATAGTTTTAGTTATGTGGTGTAGTTATTTAAATTTTGGGTTTGATATCTAGTTGTTTTTTAGTAATATCATTGATAAAACATGAATACATACAATATGAGTTATCTCAATCAATCTAAATGTTTGCATTTCAATACATCCCTTCAAAGTATTTTGCGTTGCTTCACCATAAACACTAGGCTTTCAGGAAACAGTTCAGTCTAAAAACTGTTAACCGATTGATATGCATGAATTTTAATCTTTATGGATTTTGAATGATTTATAGTATTGGGCAATACATTCAATTAAAACTAAAGTTTTAATTTAATTAATTATTACTAATTTAAAACTATCTTACTAACTATATTATTTGTTGTATTTTCTATTGGGAGAAAGAAAGAATACCAGAGCCTTGAAAAATGGACTAATCTACTCTATCCTAAAGAAGGGCTCCATGTATGAGTGTAGTAATTATTAAAGAAAAGCATAGAACTCCTTCCTGTTGCCTACAAGATAATGACCAATATCATATTACATTGGGTGTATCCGTACTAAAAAAAAAAAAAATAATTGCTGACCACCAAGCTGGATTCAGAAGATAAAGGAGAACTCAGAACCAGATCTTCTTTCTGAAACATATGATCGAAAAACGATAGAAAGTTGATTAGGATGAGCACACCTTATTTGCCGATTTCAAAGCAGCTTATGATTATGTGGACGGAAACAGTGTTTGGAAGATCATGACTGAAATGCAAGTTACCGAGACTTTTTTGAGATTGGGTACAGATATTGAGTACTAATACAAGGACAAGTACCTGAAGCCTTCAAAGCTCTAACTGGTTGACAGCAAGGAGATGGACTCTCGCTGATGCTGTTAAGCTTAGGTGGTTAAGGTGATAAGAACAAATAAGTAAAAATGGAGGCATGCACGTCGGAATGAATCATAAAATCTTTGGATATGCAGATGATATAGTTGTTCTTTGAAGCAATCAAGAGGAGATTGAGAGACTCGCAAAGACTGATAAGAGAAGCACTAACATACAATAGGATAGCAATTGGGTTTATAGAATAATTATGAAATAAATTATAATTTAGGATCATTATAACATTGTATAATATCCTGCTTGTCATGAAATCAAATATGAAAATAACTGTTTAAGATTGTATATTTCATAGATGATTTAATTATATAACAAATAAAATTTAATATATGAAATATATATCAATTACAAGAACGATATACATTAAAAAATATAATATACATAAATATAAATATTTAATGGTCTTACAATACATAGCAGATGACACCAACAGACCACATGTCAGTTGCGCAAGATATTTGGTCAAAGTTCACTACTTCGGGTGCAACAAATTCAGGTGTACCAAAAAGTACCTGGAGTTTCTTATCAGGTTCGTATTTTCTAGCCAACCCAAAGTCAATGATCTTTATCCTATTTCCTGTTTTTGTCAGACAAAGAATGTTTTCAGGCTAAAAAAAAATAAAGAAGGGTTAGAAAAAAAATATATCAATTAAAAATTTTCTGCTATATTTAAGTTGCAATTAATTTATTTATAAAACTTCAATATTGGATATAATAATTTATTTGTAAAAAGATTATATTTGAATGCAACGATTAACATCAGAGCCGGAAATCGAAGGTGGGAGGCAGAGACAGGCATATGGAGTGGCCTAAGAATTTAGAAGGCAATAAATTGGGGTGAGATACAAGGGATGTCTTGCAGAAAAATCCTGTGGATACCGAAAATGTCGTTCACTGTCGCACAATATTGAGATTTCAAACTCCTAGTGAATTTTAAAATTCAGAAGTTTATTGGTGGCTGTAAAATTAATACAATATTTTAAGAATCATATTTCATTCCAAAATATGCAAATCTTAATTAGATAATATAGTGGGCTCTTGTAAATGCAAACCTAGCTAACCTGGATCATTCCATAATCCGAACCACCCCTTTTAATAAAAATTAATGATTTGATTTTAATTATCTACACTTAATTGATTAAACATAAAGAAGTAGTACTACGTTTCAATAAATAAATCAAACGGGCTGAAGAAAATGATATAGTGCTAATTGAGATGCATAATTTTTAAATTATATTTCTTTGGAAAAATTATATTGGTGAAAACATATTTAATGTAGTTTCTTTTTTTTGTTCTTGTTTGAATTTTCAGATTCTATTGCTCAAGAAAATATGGTCAGAGACCTTGAAAAAATTATTCAAAGTTCCAAACAAACGAAAATATTAGAATATTTCACACACAAAATAGTTAATAAATAAATTTATATTGTTTGTCTTTAAATTGATTTGTTACTTATGAAGTGACCTTTTTTCCCGTTTGATATCCGAACTTTTAATATTCTAATCGAGCAGGGGATTCCAAAAAAACTAGTAAATCTAGTCAGGATGTGCTTGACAGAGACACTCAATAAAGTTAGAATCGGTAATAATTTGTCCGAAAAATTTGAGGTTCGTTCGGGCTTAAAACAGGGGGATTCTCTTTCGCCTGTCCTGTTCAATTTGGCATTAGAACATGCCATTAGGGAGGTAATGCGAACCGAGAAAGGGTTGGATCTGGGCGGGACAACATCCGTGCTGGGCTATGCTGATGATCTGGTACTGTTAAGCGAAGACGTTGAAACTATAAAACTAAATACGACAACGTTAATGAAAGCCGGTAAAGAACTAGGACTCGAAATAAACGTGGATAAAACAAAATATATGGTTAGCTGCAAAAATGGCGATACTACTGGTGATATCGATATAGATGGTAATATGTTTGAACAGGTAGATAAATTTAGGTATCTAGGTTCTACGATAACTAGAAAAAACGAAATTGAAGAAGAGATTAAGGTTAGACTGAAGGCGGGAATGCTTGTTATTTTTCTGTGACAAAACTACTTAGTTCGCGCCTCTTGTCCCGAAACTTAAAAATTAGAATCTATAAAACAATTATCTTGCCTACAGTTCTTTATGGATGCGAAACTTGGCCGCTTACATTAAGGGATGAGCAGCGTCTTAAGGTTTTTGAAAATAAAGTATTGCGTAGAATATTCGGACCGAAGAAGGATGAGTTAACCGGAGAGTTCAGACGGTTACACAACGCCGAATTGCGTGAGCTGTATCCGGGTAATATAATTGAGGTAATTTCATCGCGGCGAATCAAATGGGCTTGTAAAGTTGTTGGGCTTAGTAACGAGAGAATTCCTAAAAGGTTAATATTTGCTGTGCCGAATGGTAAGCGTCCGAGGGGTAGACCGAAGCGAAGGTGGGAAGATTGCATTAAAGCCGATCTGAAGGGACTGGGTTTGGACGGCGAACGGTGGAGGGAGGTGTGTAACAAGCGATTGGTGGTGTCGGCATCGAACCTTCGGGTTCACTAAGCCTTATTATTATTATTATTACTTATTCTGATTTATGAAAAGGTGAGAAATAAAATATCTTGGGAGCTGGGGGAGGATGTGCACCCCTGGTGCTGACACAAAGGCCCCTTTCTTTTTTATCTCTCTCTTCATTTATTTTACTCACAACTATTTTGTTTTTATTTTTTTACTTTTCCAACCACTGTTATTGTATTTTAAGTTAATACAATTGGAAATTTCAATATATATATATATATATATATATATATATATACATAAATAAATTGTTATCTTAATGTTACGTTCGATATTCGCCTTACCTTAAGATCAAGATGAATAATATTATTTTGATGTATAAAGTTGACTCCTTCACAAATCTGTCGCATGAATACTGTGCAAGCCTTTTCCGTCAATATGAAGTCATCGCCTATGACTCTTTCAAACAGTTCTCCACCCTCTATGCTGAAATAAGATTACAAGAATATAAATACATACTGAAAAATCCAATAAAAGTAATATTTAAATCCATTCCATCTTAAACTAATATCTAATTTATATTATTAAGTATAAACATAATTTAAATGATCAATAATAAAATTTCATTTCATCAATAATGGAGTTTCATTTAGAACTGAGTTCTAAGTAAAACTCCATGCTGAACACACCTCCCTGAAGAAGACCTGCAAAGTCGGGTCGAAACGTTGGCTTTTAATAAAATAGTTTTGCCACTATTCAGCCTATTTATAACTGCCACCCCCGACCATCTCCTTCCTTTATAATGCAACGGTCAACTATTAAATATTCAAAATTAAAAAGAATATGTTTGTCATTTGTTCATCATCTATTGTTTGAATGTATTTCTCAAAGGAAAATAATTACTACTATATAAATAAATATAATTATATAAAATATTTACAAATACAATTGTATTTGCTATTATATAATATGAACGTATTGAAATCCCGAAAACTCTCAAGGAATCTCAAATTAATAGTTATCAATAGTATGATAAAGCCATTCCTAATATACGAATTGCGAGACCAGTATTAAGGAACAGCATTATGGACATTAACCAGCACCCTAGAAAGAAGTATTAAGATTTGAGAGAAAAATGATTCTTCGCACGATAATCAGGGAGATCTGGGATCAGAGTACTGTTTGAGAGTTGGGATCAGAATATCGATGAAGAACTGTTTACAGAAAGTGGTCAATCAATATATCACGATATGAATGCAAGGAGGTTAAGATGGACGGGGCATTTAGTTTGGAGCAATCCATCAGGAAGCCTCCACACAACAAGGAATGTCTTAGTTGTTAGCAAGAGACTACATGGAACACGCCAACAACCAGATGGATAGATCGAATCAACGATGCTGTAGAGCTGCATGTAGATAAATAACTGGAAACAATTAGCACGAGGTAGGTAGAGATGAAGAAGGCTGATTAAGGCGGAAAAGATCTAAAAGGTCTGTAATGTCAACATAAAAAAACATTACCAGGAGAATTAATGAGCTCTAATATCCATCCAATAACTAGAGCGAGTATTACCGTACAAATGTTACACAAAAATATATCAAAGTTATTTGAGGTTGTGATAACCGAGAGTGTTGCAACGTTGCCCAGTTTAGCATTATTGTGTCTATCGACGCCGCACAGTGGTCGGAAAAGGCATAAAAACGGCAAAAACTCTGGTAAACTTTTAATTTAAGGAGGTGCCACACGATGGCCTAAACGTTTGTGCTAATGTTCACAGCAAAACCTCGAATGGTTCTTCTGCAAATATGATGTGAATAGTTCGCAAAATGTGGGACGAATGTTGGATTTTTCCTTTCACTTACCTATATATGAAACATATAGTAAGGGAAAGTATTGCGATAGTGAAAATTTTCGAATTTTAGTTTTCAACGGAAATACATATTTTGAGGTGCTCTGATTCTAATCAACCAAGTCACGCAAACGGTATGTGCGTTTAGAAACTGTGACAGAGTTATTAAAATAATTGAATGTTTTGGAGTAGACCAGAAACAATTAAATTCTTTAATGTTTGATGTATTATTAATGTAAGAAGGAGTTGATCGGGGGTGCGGTCAAATAAATGCTAAATTATAGAAATAGTATTATTTAATTATTATGCCGACGTTTCGACCACCTTGCAGGTCTTCATCAGGGCTGCAAAAGATACAAAATATAAAAGGTACATGGTACATGGTGAAAATAAAATAAATGAATTATAAGTAGATATTAAATAAGAAAAAGTTGTCTGATAAAGAAATAATAAGATGATATCAGAGATATAGTGGGTGGCAATGTAGTTAAAATATCAAGTATTATATATATATAGAAGATACAAACAAAGTTAGAAAATAAGTATGAATAAAGAGAATAAGAATAAGTATGAATAAATACTACCTATTACTAAGTATGAATTATTTTCCAATTTTATTTGTATCTTCTATATATATAATAATTGATATTTTAACTACATTATCACCCACTATATCTCTGATATCATCTTATTATTTCTTTTTCAGGCAACGTTTTCTTATTTAATATCTACTTATATTCATTTATTTTATTTTCACTATGTACCTTTTAAATTTTGTTTATTTTGTATCACTGATGAAGACTTGCAAGGTGCGTCGAAACGTCGGCATAATAATTAAGTAATACTATTTCTATAATTTAGTATTTATTTTACTGCATCCCCTGATCAATTCCTTCACATATTATATCACGGTCAACCATTTCTACATTATTATTAATGTAATAAGCAAATTGCCTTGGATACTTTTTAAAAACAATCATAATTGTTTTTTAGTTATGATAACGATAAAAAATTGCAATATTTCTATATAAATATTTTTTTTCAAGAAAGTTTCTTGTTCGGTGTAAAAAGGATCGACTGCATTCTACAGTTTTTTTTTTCGATATATGCCGTTGAAGGTATCTCAAACCACGTATACGGAGGAAAAGCCAACGAAAAAGATCACTTCTTTATACTGAAAAAGTTTTTTATTTTTATTTTTAACATCAGTCAAGACTGTTGATCTGTGTGGGGATAAAATGACAACAAAACTGACTTAGCTCGGCGATGAGCCAGCTGGCTTCAAGGTTTTTTCCTACTCGCCAATGATCAATGGAACGAGGGGAGTCAGCTTTCCACCAATCACAGAATCTTTCCTAACACTTTCATTAAACATCTATTATATATCTCATACAAAGACAGAAATAGCAAGCTTGCATAACTGCAGCCCGAAAAGAGTTCATATCACGTAAAACTACTAAAAAAAAAAATCATTCGCTGATAGATAGCGCATCACTCCGAGACATTTCAAAACATTCTTTTGTTGAGTTTATGCGATGGAGTCATTTTCTGTCATTATGACAGTGTTCGCTTGAAGTTCAATGCCGACCTTAGAAATTTGGCGCATCCGGGCAATGACTCCACCCCCTCCCAAAAACATTAATTTATTATATTAATAATTGTGGGTTAATGGTTGAATGTTGTGAATAATGAAGAGAAGGGTGGTTAGGGGGGATCAGTCAGAAATAAGAAGGCAAAAATAAATAATAATATTTATTTTAACATATGCCGACGTTTCGACTTGAAGTTCAGGCCTTCATCAGGGCTCTTCCAATAGCTGACTGGAATAGAGGCAATTCTCTATTGCAACGGGGAGCACAGTAGGACGAATCTAGGCGGAAAAATTTATGGTAATTTTACTTTCCCTTACCTACATATGAAATATGTAGTAAAGGAAAGTATTTCGATCGTGAATATTTTTGAATCTCAGGAAATACGCGTTTTGAGGTCCTCTGAGTCTAAATAACCAAGTCTCGCAAAATGGTCTCTGTGTGTGTGTTAACAGTCTAACTCAAAGACGAAACTGTAGGCAAGTGAAATTGCATATTTAACGTTTTTAATATAATAGGGATGTTACAGCAACTTTTTCGTCAAAATCGACTGATCGGGAGTGGCACTTTATACAATGGACTAAACACATTTTTGCGATTTTCTCGAAAACGGTTGTAACGACTTAGATTAAAGTCATCATATCAGTGTAAAATTAAGGATTTTAAAATAAATTGTAGGTTTTATTCTGACTGATGAATAACTTAAATGGCTAATATTCAATATTAGCTTTCCCTGACGTACCTTTAATTTTTTTTTTTTTTAAAACAATTGTCCATTTCACATTAATCTTCGATATAAAATATAGATAAATATAAAATACGAAAGAATTTTATAACTAACTAAAGGAGAAATAAGAGATCGTAACGGAGGATAGTTGTAATTGAGGAACCAAAGGACCAGCGCAACCGAGAACGCCCAGAAGTTTAGAACACGCTTTTCATTATAAAGTACAGCTGTCAAATTTTTTTCAGAAGTTACTAAGTAGATATATCAATTCAAAAAGGAAGGAGCGTTTTTTGCCTATTGAAGCATGATTTCATTTTTAGAAAAAAAAAATTACAAAAAGGAATTTATTCAGCGTTTGGTAAATATCTCAAATACAACACACATATATATTTATTTAATAATTATTGTTTCTTATGTGGTTCCTTACTTTAATAAAAGTAAACATCACTGAAACAGGAGCCAATAGCATGATAGAAAATCTATAATCAACTTTTTAAGGTTAAAATAAGAAAAGTGACAAAAGTGAAGTTTAAATTATGCGGCCATACCTATATTCTCTTACCCTTTGATTTGACACATAGAATATTTCAAATCTAACTCCGATTTGAACACACTTACAAGGATGTGAAATGTGAAAAATTGAAGTAGTCGTTGAACCACAAAAAATGAAACTATTGGGATTAAACCAGCCAGCCATATATTTATTATATGTAAAATATTAATCTTATTTTTTAAATTAGACATAAAATAGAATTACAAAGCAAACATGCTTGTGCGAAATAATATATAAATCTGTAACCACAGTGTTTCCCCACATCAATCTAACAAAAGATATTAAGATAAGAAACAATGGTGTATGTAATTCCCCTCCCCCCCACAGGGATCTAACAACTGAACTGCTTTTAATACGAACCCTGTCACAAGTCATAAATGGAATACCGCTTGCTCTATAGAAACATTTTAGTGGCTATGATTTAAAATCAATTTCTGAAGCTGTAGTTTATTACTTTAAATATTTTTTTTTATTTCTTAATGACATTTACAACTGTATTACATAAATACATTTAGTAAATTTGGACATAATAGATATAATGGCATGAATACACTTGCTGAGTAACTACCCAATGGCAGCACTGTAATGATATGACTACATTAGGAGATCACGGGGCCAACTTTAAATTTGAAATGAAATTATTTAAGTTTTCAATTTTTTTTTGTTTGTTTATTTAATGAAATTCACAACTGTATACAAATATAACTAGTAAATATGCGCAAATATAAATAATGGAATGTACAGGCTTGAAGACATACTACCCAGTGGTAGCACTCTCTAAATAATCTTAAGTAAGAAGATCACGAGGCCATCTCCTTTTCAGACGCCTAGGAGGATCATCAGGATTCGAGGAAGAAGCAAGAGTGGAAACAAGCGGATTTGGATGGGACTGAAGTTTATCATGAAAGGATAGATATCTGGCTCATGGCATAGAGCTAAATCAGCGACATATGATACATTAAGGTCTTGATGAATGGTTTTATTTGTGACAAAGTATGGAGCATTAAGGATTTTACGGAGGATTTTGGATTGTAAGGATTGGATACGATAGGAATTCGATGGTTTGGTGGAGACCCAAAGCTCCACTCCGTATGTCCATATAGGTCTTATTATAGTTATGTAGATAAGTCTTTTGTAATAAATTGAAAGTTTGGAGCGTTTGTCTAGTAAGTGTTGGAGCAGTCGGAAGTTTTCAAATGTATTTCAATTTTCAGATGACATTCAATATGTCTCTAATTAAGCTGCTTTAATAATGAATTTTATATTTTTTATGATTCCTAACATGTAGCGCACTTGCACCCATCTAAGTCGGTGCCACCGGACAACTGTCCAGATAGCCCCGCCCCCAAGGCTCACACCGATGTTTATTGGTTTACCAATTTATTTACATTATTGTATCAATTTACTTATATTAAAACTAAACATGATTAGATGATCTCTATTAACAATTAATTTAGGGAAACTAAAAAGGATTATGGAAAAAAACAAATCATCGGTTATGATCAGGTCCTGAATGAAATGACGGAAATAACTATTTGCTAGGATGGTTAAATGGACTAGATGTTATCAGATAGGTTCCAAAAGACTAATGGAATATTAGCGTAAGAACTTGGCCAGAATGAAGTGAAGGTAGAAAACTAATACATTTTTTCATACGATGAAGGATTTAATTCCATTATGTTTACTATCTCAAATCTTATAATTAAGGAGTTGGTGTGAATCAAGGTAGTTATGTTATATAGTTATTTAATAAATATTGTGTACTCACAGCTCTAAAACAACGCACATGACGTTGTCCGTCTCAAATGCATCGTAGAGTTGAATTAAACGTGGATGTTGCAGAGTGCGCATTATTTCCACTTCTCTCTCAACATTGCGCCTGTCCTGCCGCCTTGCGATTCCAACGAATTTCGCAGCAAGAACTAGGTTAGTTCTTTTTTCGCGACACTTGTAAACTGTTCCAAATTTGCCCCTGAAATATCCAATCTTCATTAATTAATTACAGACACATTATGAATGAACGTAGATTTATAAAAACAACAACATTTTAATGTATTTTAAGAAAGGCGTTCAACGAACGCAACAAACACTGTCTTATGAATAATTATAAAACTATAGATAGTATGATAAAATAACAATATTTATCATACTATAATATTAACTTACAGTATGATAAATATTGTTATTCTTAAAATATTGTACAATACATTGTACTACGTATCATTTCAATACATTGAAATTGTCTTTATAATAAAAATTATTTTTCTAACCATTGTATACGTTTAATCAAACTAAGTTATATTCATATTGATTGGCACCTCTTGCTTATGTTCATTTCATTACTAGCTAATAGTCACATTTCTATAACCATAAGAAAGAACTCAAATATTGTACACATCTGAAATATTTAGTCAGCAAATTATGTACATTCTACAAACATAAATGTTACCTCCCTTCCCCTGAGACTATGTTTACCTACCTTTTGCTATCTGAAAAAGGACAACTGGGAAATCCTCCCCCCCCCTGACCTTTTCACTTACCTACCAAATGTGTCAGTACTTGAACACCATCAGTGCTCAAACCACGGTTAGGAAGAGAAAATATTACAAATTCGTATAAATGGATTATATACATTATTTTTAATTTTTAGTTTGTATAACTATTTACATATTTCATTTTTAACATGTGTATAGCAATATTAGTTAAGATTCATGTACCATCAATCACTATAGTTTATTATTTACCATTATCGGTCGTATACTATTTTATCTCTGACTAGTAGGCCCGTGCGAAAAATTCGCACAGCATATTGTTATCAAATGCCAGATTAATAAGAAAATAAAATAATGCAACGTATCAAAAGATAAAGAAATCAAATGTTACTATTATCGATAAATATAATCGACAAAGAAAACAAAAATTAATTTAAATCTTCATTTTTGTTTGGAACCAACATGTTTACAAATTTCAGTAAGCTGTATCTTTGCTAAAAATTGTCCGATTTCAATGATTTTTTTTTCATTGTGTAGGGAATTTAGTAATCTTTTATATAATCACGGGCATAACCAAGGGAAAAGTGTGTAATTTTTTAGTTATTCGCAAATAAAGTTTGTTTTCCTTGATAACTTGTTTGCCTGAATTTTCGAGACGATTGGACTAGTTTGTCCGCCTGAAGGAGAAGGAAGCCTTCGAAATTGGTGGCTCAATCTTGAGATTTGGTGAAAAATTGACGATGATATGGCTTGCCGATCAAAAACACCATCGATAAATAATATAAACTCCTCCTCTCTCGATCATAGAGACCTCAAGTCGACGAAATGAGACATGTATTCAATGACAGTACTACAATTAATGTAAGGTTGTGTGGATGCGAACCCTATGCCTTGCGTTATCTCGAAAATAGTACGTTTTTGGGCTTAAAAACGCAGGATCCGATAGTTCCGGAGGAACTATCGGGTCTTGCTGTACGCATCAAAATCTTCTAGATCCAATTTGTCCCGTATCGATCTACAGACCTACCACTGTTCAGGTATTGAAGCCTAGCAAAATGTTTGTATCGACTTTATTTATTTTAGAAAGAAAAACAAAAGTGGAGAATACGATTCGCTAACCCCCGTGAAATTCTGAATCCAACGGTACCCCATTCATGTTATTTCAGCATGACAGGAGCTTATATTTGGTACAAAACCGATTTCGAGCCTTACTGTACGGATTGTATTTAAAAAAAATTTCAGCCCTGAAGATGACCCACATGTGGGGGTTGAAACGTTGGCATAAATAAAAATATTTTAAGAGACTGCGTCCTGAATATTTATCACCCATAAAACTATAATGACTTTTTCTTCTTAATTAAAGATGAGGAAATAAAACACGACATGAAAATCGAAATTAAATAACGTTTAATATTTTCTATAAAAAGAGCTAGGAAAATAGGGATACTCATATATCTTATGCAGGTTTTTTATTAGATTTTTCCTAGTGTAAAAATGGATTTCAATTCTCTTAATAGCATTCAAACCACTAGTATGTCATATGTAAGGTTACTGCAACCAGAAACATGTTATTTATCATTATGACATGATGTAATGTATAAAAAACATGTATATAGATGATAATTTCTAAAAAAAAAAAAAAAAAAAATCTAGGGAAAGAAGCAGCGAAGCAATTTAATTAAATTTGATTAGTCGTTAATTTGTTTATTTTTATTTTTTTGTTGGAGGGAAACAAACCGAATTTTTCGGCAGGGTTATACGTAAATTAAGATAGTACAATTGTTAGCGGATAGTTTTCTTATATATGATAAGTATGATAAACATTCAGTGGTAGTCGACTTGTACGATATGGAGCAATATGTTCGGGAAGGGGTTGGAGGGAGGGGGGAAGAGAGGTTAGTTCTTGAAGGTGGAATTTCTAAAGCAAAAGCTAATTCAATCCATCTGGTGAATGCTTACGATTTTCAGCATACAAATATATTGGATTTCTCCTATTAGGTATTTGTGAGAACTTACTATCTTGCGGGATGTGCCGATCATTTAATTGATACTGACTCTGCCAGAATTGGCAATTGACCAACCTCTGCCACTATTTAAAATACAAACACTTGATACCACGTATTTTCAATACAATGGAATGAATAAACGATTTTTATTCATACACAGACATTATTCAGAAAAGCTTACTTCCTCCGTACTGTGACAGATGGGCGTTGCAGAATTAATGGGAAAAAAAATCTGGTGAGCGCATCACACGACTTTCACTTACCACCCCTTCTTAAATAAGTATTTTCAGAACAAAGGGAAGTGAAAGTAAAGATTATAGACGCTATATTTATTTATATTTCATTGTGGGTATTTTTATTTGTTTAAATACCCTTATATATACAAATTTTAATTTTTATATCGCTGTAATCTATACAATTAAATATTAAATAATACCAACGATAGCATTTATGAAAACCGCATATGTATATGTATATAATATTGTCGGAGTCCGTATTATATTAAGCTCATGTTACGTATGGAAGCCTGTTCTAATCTTTCGGGCGAGCTCGGGCGCTCGTATTCCTTTGGTTCTCCATTACAACTATTATCCGTTACGATCTCTTATTTCTCCTTTAGTTAATTGTCAAATTCTTTCATATTTTATATTTAACTATTTTTTATATCAAAGATTAATGTGAAATGGTTAATTTTTCAAAAAAAAAATTAAAGGTACTTTAGAGGAAGCTAATATTGAAAATTAGCCATTTAAGCCCTGTTAGAGAACATCAATGAAAATAAAACCTACATTATATTAAAAACTGCTTAATAATACACTGATTATACTGAGTTTGATCAAAATCGTTAGAGCCGTTTTCGAGAAAATCGTAAAAATGTGTAACATCGATAACATAAAGTGCCACTTCCGGTTAGCCGATTTTGACGAAAAAGTTGCTGTATCATCCTAGCATATAAAAACCTTAAATATGCAATTTCACTTTCGTACGACTTTTCGTTTTTGAGCTAGACTGTTAACACACATACACAGCCATTTTGCGGGACTTGGTTATTTCGATCCAGGGACCTCAAAACATGGATTACCGTTTAAAACTGAGATTCGAAAATTTTCACGATCGCAATACTTTCCGTTACTATATTTCATATATAGGTAAGTAAAAAAAAATATAGACCTACTCAATACCAAATGCTACCTTTTCATCAAGTCATATTTAGATTTCAAATCCCGTTTTTTAACTTTGATAAAAAAAATAAATAATAAAATGGTGCGAGTTCGATTCCCGCATGGGGTCGGTAACGTCTTTTATAGGAAGGTGAGCAGCCGATAAGTCTTACACCATAGCTCCTGTTCCTCCAGGTTGGGGATTGGGCATATTGCTAATCGAATAGGGCATAAAAAACAGGATGGAGATTGCTGCAAAAGGTTGCCAACCAGGAAAGTTCCTGACGAAGAGGGAGTATAATCAAAGAGTATAGTTCATTCTGCTCTCTCTCCAAATACTTCAAACACCCAAAACAGAGCCCTGAAGATGACCCACAGGTTTGGGTTGAAATGTTGGCATAAATAAAAAATTAAAAATTTTTTTTTTAAATGAAAGACTGCGTCCTGAATATTTATCACCCATAAAATAATAACGTTTCTGTCTGATTGAAAAAATCGTATGCAAAAGGTTTTTGCGATAAGGATACCATTCAATTAATGTATTATTATTATTATTATTCAATTAAAACCAGACTTTTCTTATAAGGCACCCATAAGAAGTGGGACCCATGGCGTAACGCCTCTTCCTCCCCCGCTAGGTAGGCCCTAGATTAGATTCCTGCATGGAAAATAAAAACTAAACGACACGCTTACCCCCGAAAAGAGAGATAATCAGAAGATAAAGGGATAGCAGAGAGGGTGTTGTATTTCGGGAGACTCAAGGGCAAATAACAAATAATCTTGAGCTGGTCTGATTCCAACTGTCTAAGATAACCGCATAACTGAACCTCTCCTGGTCAAGTAATCTTTATTCCCTCCATCCCAACATCTCAAATAATTGACATTCATATATATATATATATTTCTAAATCATTTTATTTTATTGACTTATACGGTGTTGATTTAAAATCAGAAGAACCTTTTTATGTATTATTTCTCAAAAGTGTTTTTTTTGTTGATTTGCCATATCTTCGTTATTTCTTCAAATCCAATGACTGAGCCCTCATTTTGAAGATCTTCTCCTCCTTCAGGTGGGATAAATAGTCGCATTCCTCGGAAATTTTAGGAAAAAAGTTATGAAGGAATAGAAAGTGGCGAATAACTCAAAAAGCATATATTTTGCTGTTGATTGCACACATGATCTTTTAGCACGATTACTAAATTTCCTATAAAAGAAAAAAAAATCATCGAAATCGGATTATTATTAGCAAAGATTCAGCTTATTTTAATTTCTAAACATATTGGTTTAAACCATGAATGAAGTTTTAAAATAAC